ATTAGGGTTGGTTTTTTTTTTTTCAATGATGATTGATGAGGTCAGGGAAAAACGGTGGTCAAAGCCTCCCCTAAAACATGCAGGTATATGGGAAAATTTTTAAATGCATAACTGAAACTTTGGATATATACTAAAAATAGTGTTATTGGAATCAATTTTATGATTAGTAGGCTAGTAGCATTTGATCTTGTCCACGTTCAGAGATGTTTAAATTATTATAAGTTAAATGTATGTAAATAATATTAAAATTTTAAATTAGATAATAATATCAATACAAAATTAAGAGCAATAAAAAGTTTAAGAAAAAATTTTTGCAATATAATCTTATATACTTATTGAACTTCCATATATCATTTAGTGTAAATAACAATCGGTTAGTTTTAGTAATAATTATTATCCGATCATGTGCACATGCACAGATGTTTAAATTATTATAAGTTATGTGTATATGTATAATAATGAAATTATAAGTTACATAATAGTATCAGTTATGAGTGATATAGTGTGATATTTAGCCGTGTTTATTGTGGGATTGTGCACCATTTCTTTTTTATTTATTAATCTATGATGGAGGTACATTTGTCGTTGCTTTTGTAGGAAATATGCCTAGAAAAGCGATAAAGATGGAATCGGGACGCAAAACGACAAAAACGAGGTGAAGATGAGTCACACGACTCTTGTGAGTAGGTGACACGGGTCGTGTGAGTAGAAAAAAATGAAGAATTTGAAGAACTTTGCTACGGTTTTTTCACACGACTCGCATGACAAGTGACACGTGTCGGTGACCTCACACGACTCGTGTGACCTGGTCGTGTGAGGGGTCGTGTGAGTCTGGGAGTTCGGTGAAAATTTGAAAAATTCACACGACTCGTGTGGCGTGTGACACGAGTCATGTGATGCGCAGAAAAGCCATCGAGAAATAGAATTCTTATGCGATTTTTTTTTTTTTCGACCATATTTGCCCTACAGTATAAGAGGGACTTGGAGAACACGGTTTTGAGACTTTTGACACCATTGGAGGCCTAGAGAAAGCACGAAACACACGAGAGATTCGAGGAAGTCAATATCGAAGATTCAGAAACTAACGGCGACAATAGTTCTTCTTTCTTTTCTCTTTTTCTTCTTCATTGAACTCATGAACTTATTTATTTTGAGTATTGAGAATAAGTTTAGTAGCTTAATCTCTTTGAGATTCTAGGATTTGCGAGTACTCGGGTTACTTTATGAAGCGATTTTGTTTATTAATTTCGGTCTATCTTTCGTTTATCAATTCTTGAGCTAATATTGATTGTGTGAATATAGGACCCACATTTGTGCATATTTGTGATTGACTTGAGACAGAGAGGAGATAGTTATTTGCTAGAATTAGGAAATTCATAACATAAGAGACTAAATAGACCGAGAGGTTGATAGAATCTTGCGAGGGAACGAGAATCTTAGAAACTTATGAGAGTTAGTTGTTCATCTTGAGATCGAGAGGAGATAGATAACAATCAATATCTACGATTTAACTTGTTCGAGAGAAAGGTGTAAATTAATTTAGCGATTACCCCTACAATTGATAGAATTAAGTAAGGTTTGAATGAATAAGAAATATTTGCTAGAATAATCGAGGTAAGCATAGCCTAGAATCTATTTTTTTTCATACTTGATTTATTTAGAATAAGCCTTCATTTTTTTTCCAAACCGATAGAAAAATCTATTAACTGAAAAGCGAGCAAAGCTCGAATACAACCAGTTCAAAAATAACAGCAACTTGAGAGGTGCATCTTGAAGATGACCTAGAGCTCTCGACAAATAAACACAAGAACAAAGAATAAGCCTTCATTAGCGTTAGAATTTATTTTGCAATCATTCATTAGTTTAGAATATAATCCCCAATCAAATTTGAGTTAGTCTAAATAATATTTAATCGTCTATATTTCGGTACTTAATTATTTTATCAACAATCTTTGTGGAATACGATCTTGCTCGCCGCTTACTAAAGCTACACCATACACTTGCGGGTAGTGAAAATATTTTGCGAACATTTTGTACAAGATTGTATGCTAGAACCCAAAAAATAATAACACACAAACGTTGGTGATCAATTGATTAGTTTTTGGATTAATTATTCGATAAATAACGCTCGTATTGAAAGTAGAGACTGATTCTATCTAAAGAAGAAAAGCAACATTTAAGGAGAGAAATATCAGCTCTTAAATCTCGGGTATATAGCAAGATCCCCAGTCTTCAGCCTGCACGATCGTCCCTAGAATCGCGCTCCAAATCTCCATGCTGATCGCGCATATCACCTGTTGTCGCCCCATTTCTGGTAGATGACTGTTACAAGCTTCATTGGTTGCATCATTGGTCGAGCTCGACCCGTTGCTCGTTTCTCGACCTTTATGTCGCTCGATCTCCCAGCGCTCAACCTTCTCGTGCTCTCCAAGATCAATATCCCCGCGCTCGACTCTCGCGCACTGGGTCCTTTTGTCGCACTCGACCCTAACGCCGTGCTCGACCCTCTCACAGTGCAAGACACTGTCGTCATTCCCGACCTTGTTGAGCTCGACGCCGCGTGTCTCGGCCAGTCTAGCTGCCCTTTTGCACGCCCGATACACGTGGCTATAGGCGTTCTTTAAAATTCGACCTTTATTCATATCAAAGTGCTCAGGTGCGGTGTGGGTGTGCGGCCACGGTGCGGTCGGTTCGGTCAGTTCGATCGCCTCGAATAGCTCGGTTCCCCAAGTTTCGCAATAATGGACCTATTCAACACCAAAAAGACCAGAAAACACGGCAAAACATAAAAACACAAAACAGGAATAAAAATGCACACAACACGATAAATAGACTGATCAACACTAAAACGAACCTAAAAAGACTCAACTAAGGCATATAAAACACACGAAAATAAACACAAAAGGACAACAAACAGAGGACACAAGCCTTTTAGAAGAAACTGTAGACAAATTGAAAAAGTGCAATCAATCTCTTCAGTCGTCAATGGTTCTCATGTCCGGAAAAAAAATAAAAAAAAAAAAAATTAAGTCCTATGCTTCATACTCTCCTTCATATGAGCACCAGTCGGTTGAAAAACCTAATACATCGATGGTCGAAGCTTCATATTCAACAAGGGTTGAACCTGTTGAACGTCATCGAGAGGTCTTGACAAACACTTAAGAGGAACTTACAATTCTTGCGCCGATCGTCGAGGAAATTCATAGTTGGAGAAGTATGCTTATTTCATCCATGCTTCAAGCGGCACTCACAGAGTTCAACTCTGCCGTGGTTGCTTTTTACGACTTGGATTCATCTCAAATTCCGCTTGAGAGATTTTTTTCTCTATCGGTGAGTATTGTTCGGGACAGAACCCAGTTAGAAGGCGAGTGTCGAACTATGGTGGATTGGTTTGCTCCTTAAAAGAGATTAGTCCCACTCTCGTATATGGTGGTACAAAATCACTTGAACATGCGGGGAAAGGAAAATTGTAGGTCGTAGACCATCGACGCCTTCAACGTTGCAACACACCTTGCGGTGGACAATTTGATCTTTCTTCGATGTACGTCACCGTATGGATGCAGGGACCTCCAACGTCTCCTGCAATTTCACGACGCAAAAATCTTACAGTGTGCTCGTTGTCCTAATCCCACTTACATTCCCCAGTATGGCCACCTTTTACCCATCCAGCGTAGGTACTGGCGCAGTTCAAAATAGAACACCCACTTAAATATGGAGTGGAGGAAATTTTTTTATCCAACATCTACGAGTCATTGGATTATCTACGATGCACATATCCCAATGTATAAGTGACACAAACAGGAGGGAAAATGTAAGAAAGACATATTCCTCGGCTATGACTCTCAATCTAAAAGATGCCAAATTTACATCCTTGGTAAATTACTTATCAGTCGAGATGTCAAGTTCGACAAAAATGCTCGTTGAACTAAAAGAAAAAACAATCGTTGCAACTGATGCGCGATCCCGAAAAGAAGGAAAAGATCTTAGAAAAGTAGGCTTTTATGATCCACTGTTGAATACCAAAATATTTTGGTACCTTCACCACAGATTCAAAATATAGTACTAGAAGAACTCGGAGATAAAACACCTCCCATAGCTCCACGACCTCGTGTCCGAGGATATCGTCACCATCTAGCGACGAACAATCATTAATCCTAGAGTCTCCACTGAGACAAATACGAACCCTCAGAGAAATTTATGAGTCACACAATTTTGTCATAGTAGAATCAGAAGCACATAGCAAACTGCATTATCAAGAACAATATATACAACAGAATTTTCTTTATTTTGTATGGATTTTAATCGAGTATGCACTGATTGCTCTCAAAGTTGAAAATTAAAAAAAAAATAAAATACATCTTGTCTTCATCGGATCCAACTGACTAAATAACTAACTAATCAGAGTTTCACTTGAATTAATCAAGTGTGCATTTTATATCTGTAGCACGTACTGCTTTAGAGTACAAACAACATAAATGCATATAAAATGTGCTAAATTAATTCACTTCACAAATCTTCTAAAACCAGCCACACTCCTCCCTTACAGGAAAATACTGTGGCTCCGGATTAGTAAATCCATCATCGAAATCCTCAAACCCCGAAAAGAAATCCTCGTCCAATGCAAAATCGGACATGTCAATGTCGTTACTATACCCTCCACCGCATTCTGTTTTCACAACTCTTACGTCGTTATCTTCTGCATTATTCTCCTCTTTGATACTTTCACAAAAACCAATAACCGATCGGTCGGACAAAAGTTGATGAGGTGTTTGTGGGGAAACACAAGATTCTTCGGTTTTTTGTGGTAGGACGGTTTGGGAGCCGGCGCCTTTTGTGTTTTTGTTATGGGATGGGAATTTCTGCCGGACGGTGCCGGCTAATGAGTTTCGTCTGGTCGGCTGGCTATGGCTGTGTTCGGCTGTGTAGGTCACGATGAACAGTCCAGGATCGTTGCAGCTTTGCTCGACTTGCTTGCGCGCCAAACAACCCTTCGAGCTGCTACATCTGTAGTAGCTCCTGCTCGTTAAACCAAAAAATAAAAAGGTTAGTTAATTAATTAATAAGCATATGAGTTATTGAACCTACAGTCATCCTATATATATATACATTGGGGTTTAGCAATATTAGTTTTGCCTACATCTTGTTATTAATTATCCTTTTGCAAAAAATTTAAAATATGCTCAATAATTTGGGGCTCATATTAAATATATACCAACAACTTTTATGATTGCACAAAATATC